CAAACACTGTTTGTCAACCTAGCATACCTCACAGGAATAAGTTATGAAATCAAAATGGATCAGAAAGCTGTTTGCATCATTTTGAGCTCCTTGAGGGAACGATGAGCTAAAAATAATAAATAAGACCTGAATCTGAAAGAGAGAGATTGAAAGAAGCACTGGTATTTAACAGAAGATAAGAGTTGCTATTTGAAGAAAATGGAACAGTGATCCTGAGACCGATCGGAGTCAAGGGGACAAGAAAAGATCACCTCCAGTTCTGCTGCTTCTGAAGGAGTGGAGAGCCTGAAACAACAACAACAACAACCACAAAAAGCAAGGAAACACCAGCAACTCCCTTTGAATTTTAGATGAAGCCCAGAGGAGTTGTTTTGTATCTGGACAAGCTGACACAAGCATGACCTCTTCTAGCTACTTGATTCTATTGGGCTTCGTAAAAAAGCACTTATCAAACCAAAACCATGAGTAGATGAGATCTCAAGCACAGTGTGGAAATCCATCTTCATCAATAATTTTATCTACATTAGAAGTTTTACTGGAAATGGAAGCCACTTGGAGTGAGAGAAAGAGAAAAGAAACTAACACCAGATTCTATCAGAGTGTACAATTTAAGGCCTCAGGGCTTCGTGTAACCCCCAGGCCCTTCTGAAAGTTCACCAAATTGTCATTCTTAATGTGGCCAAAGGGAAAGATTATTAAATATAGGGAGAATGATCATACTGCTTGTAGCACATTATTTTAATTTACATTTTAATTAATTCAAGCCATTTATAGGTGCTTGTCCTAGTTGGCAAACTATTTTGTATTGGCTCTATTTTGGGGAGTGCAACCCCTCAGCAGTCCACTTAAAGGCCAGAAGTGTCTCCTGTAATAATTGAAGTAGTACTTGGAATTTGACAGTAAGCAATACATTGTGACTGAAATAATTCTTGCCTTCCGACGTTTTGTTGGTGTTGATGGTGCAGTAATTTTAGCCTTGGACATGACCATAGGGATCCTTTCTTTAAGTATATTACTTAATTCACTTCAAAATGTGATGTTAGCTTTTCTGTCGAAACCTCTTTTTTTTTCCCCTGTTGAGTAAGGCCATTGATTTCTGCCCTAAAGTTTTATTCATAGTAGCACCACAGCGAATGCTCCTGAATAAGATGTCAACATCTGCCATTGAGTCATAGCTCAATGACTGAGTAAATAGATAGTCCCACTTTAATTCCTAGCACCTCTAGTTAATAAAATAGAAGGCAAACCTGTGGATCTCCAGATGTTGCTGTATTCCAACTCCCATTAGTCACAGAGAACATAGCATATGGGCTGGGATGCCAGGAGTATAGTCCAAAAGCATTTAGAGGGTCATACGCTCCCCACTGCTGGGACGGACAATACTGGGTAAGATGTGGAGGTGCGTGAAAAATCTCAATTCATGACATGGCTCTGCCAGGGGTGATGGGCCCCAGGCAAGATACTATCTGGGGAATTAAGATATTGAGCATATTTTCAGTTGTGCATCCAATGTTTTTTCCCTAAAATAAAAATGGAAAAAGTACTGCCTTTGCTGTTACCTGATAAGGGAGAGAATAAGGGGGGAAAAAACAAAGGCTAAACAGGAGAGACATTGGCAAATGTAAGTGGGGACCCGTAGGGTAGTGCAACACCACCCTGTGCCTAGTGGTCTAGCCTTAGTAATGCCATTGATGCCTAGTGACATTTGAGCCTGGCCTTTCCAGAGATATTAGTACTACACTTAAAAAGGAGTGGAGTGGGTGAGAAAAGAACAGGTGAACAAATCATTAGTTCTAAATCCTGGGAAAAAGTAAACTTTATTTAGGCTGAGGTAGTTTTGGTTCCAGATATAAAGCATGAGGAGGAGACACTGTCTCTAGTTTCATCTTAAAATTCTAGATTATTGCATTAACATCTAAATAACAGTAATTAAAGGTAACAACAATAATAGTTCAACTTCGTAAAGTTTTGTTCCAGACCAGCTTCCCCCAATTTAGTATCTACTTTATTGGTTGATAGCATTTTCAGCCAGCATGGGCAGCAAAATATAGAGGAAGAGTATCACAAGTTAATATTTGTAGGACTGCAGAAAAAAACAAAATACCCTGCAATCTCTGTCCCATTTCCACCCACATTCGTAGGGAAAGAGGGATATCTCTATGGGATAAACATAATAAATAGAGGAGAATTTGTTAGCATAGTTCAGCATAAATAGATGTCAACCAAAATTCATCTTGTACCAGTAAAGTCTTAAGCAAGATCTCAGTGGGTTGGAGCCATACTTACACTAAAGTGAGATATGACTAACAAATCCCATTTATTTCATAAAAGGCAAAAGCACCCACATGACATACATAACTGGGAGATTTCAGCCCTATATATACAATATATGAAGCAGGCACTGATTTAGAAGTCATTTCTGCTGATTATAAAGTGAAATTGTCTTCCAATTTAATATATCAAATAAAGCAATTTTGCTCCAATAGTGAGTTTCTGAACATGAAGAACTAGATAGCTTCTGATTGCTTCTATGGAGAAATCCTTCCTCTGCTTTACACATACATCCCTTTAACCCCTGATCTGTTTGTGCAGCAGGTGGGTTATGTTTGTTTCACAGGCTGATGGATTGTAAAGCATCTTTACAAGCCAAAATATGTTCTCCAAGGCTGACATGTCCTTCATCCTTTCAGCCATCAGTTAGGAAGAACACTCCCACCTTCCCACACACAGGGATACACTAAAGATAAGGCTGCAGTCCTAGACATACTTTCTCTAACAGTACGGTTCTGTTAAACTCAGTGAGGCTTCCTTCAGAGCAGATACTGTATGTTTAGTGATACAAAGCTCCAATCCTATGCATGTTTTAGCATCCTCTGAATAAGGGCCATTGAAGGCAATGGAACTAGCTTAAATAGACAAAGAATTGGACTGCATATCAGGAAAGAGAAGGAAAGATATTTTGGGTTTCTCCCCAATTTTAAGTTCTTTGCATGGATCTTCATATCAAAAGATCATACTGGAACCTCCTTTCAGGTTGAAATGGATTCACTGAGTTAATTTAATCTACATTTCTTGTGTGTGTGTGTGTTTTAGTAAAGTAAGTGAGGTCCTATTGACCAAAGGAAGGAATTTACTCCCCTGATAGGAAAGTTTAGAATTTGGGCTTTTCATTTGATTTTATTTAGCTGCTGATGGATTTAAGCAGACTTCAATCTTTGGATTGCAAAACCTCAGACCTGAAACATATCTTCTCCAAGATGAGGGGTTAATTTCTGTAGAACAGCTTTCCCCAACCTGGTGCTCTCTATATGTGTTGCAATGAGAGGTCCCAGAAGTCCCAGCCAATATGGCCCATGGGCTACCTGGGAGTCAGCATCAGTGAACTCAGTAAGGCTCATCTCTGAGTAGATAAGCATAGGATTGGAGTTCACACCTGCAGATTTGGATTTTCTTTCCCCTCCTTCACTCTTCCCAATCTTATATCCTCTGGCTCATTGGAAGGAAGGAAGTTTTTCTGGAGAAGAAAAATCCGTGGCTGGTTCAGAAATTTGTGAGATTCATAGGCTTGCATATTTCTAAGCTAATCTAAATTGATTCAATAGTTGCCTTTTTCTTTGTTTTATCTTCAAACCCCACTTAAGAGGAATGTCTGGAGAAAGGATGAGCTAACCAAAACACTAGTGTACTGATAGGCTGTTCAGACATATTCCCACAATCATACTCTTGATGCAATGATGGTTGTGAATTTAGAATGTTGGTGTCGGCTTCAAAGGCAAATCAGAAACAATGCATTAATATACACTTTTTCACTTCTTTTTAGTGGATTCTTCATTCCCACAGTCAGTACGGGCTGATACATAAAAGCAATTTCAGTTAGCCAAAAATTAGTGTGGATGAGCAGCAGTCAAGATGCAGAGGTATCATATTCTTCTAGTGCAAAATTGAAGTTGGGTGGAAGGAAAATTACTTCTCTGAGGCCTCTAGCTTCTCTTCTCTTCTCTTCTCTTCTCTTCTCTTCTCAACTATACATCTCCATTTTTTAAAAAATACTGTAGCTAAAATCAGCTGTGAGACTCTAGTAAGAAACTATATGAAGCAAACAGCAAAGTACAGGCAAAAAAGCTTACCTCTGTAAATAAAGTCCCCTGGCTCTTTACGAAGAAAAAATTATTTTCTTTTTCCCAATTTCCTACTACTGAAAGTGCGTCTCCTAACTTTCGGGGAGGTAGGTAGGGGAAGAAAAAATGTTGTCCCTGAGATGATGAGTGTAGCTAAACTAGGCTTTAACACGTAGACTGTTCCGTGTCTTATGAGAAGCAAAAGGAGGACATAGCAAGGCAAAGAAGAGGGAAAAGTTAAAGGCTCAGTATAGGGGTCGCTCTTCCTATCTCGAGTTCTTAAATCTCGCTTTAAAGAAAGGAAGGAGGGTGGGATGGATGGATGGATGGATGGATGGATGGATGGATGGATGGATGCATGGATGGATGGATGGAAGGAAGGAAGGAAGGAAGGAAGGAAGGAAGGAAGGAAGGAAGGAAGGAAGACTGAGGATTTGTGTTGCTGGGTGTTCTAGTGATGTGGGGATTACATTTGTGCTGCTCCGAAGCTTGAAGTAACAAAGAAACATACAGTACATGAATTTGTGCTGACACCAACGGCATAGAAACACGAGCTTAGGGCGAGAGAGCTTCAAAATCTACATTTTATGAGTGATCCTGTTTGGAAGTCGTTTGCATAATTGTAACTCACTGTTGAGTATCCAGAGAAAAATGTGCAAAAGTTCCTTTAGATTCGAAAATACGTGTTTCTTTTTCATGCGAGGGGCGCGTGTGCACAGGTGTCATATGCGCGTGTGTTCGTGGTTCTTTCGGGTGGGTTTGTCTTTTGTGCCCATAGGCTTAGGACAGTTTATTCACTTTACAAACCGAGCAGCTGCCTCTTAGAAGTGGGGCCGGGATATTTCGGTGGGGAAGACCTGACCTACTAACCCTCCCTCGCCTTCAAGAGGACACCGAGCTGGGCGAAGCGTCGGGGGTGGAGGACCCGCTGGATCTGTCCGAGGCAGCCTCGCTGCTTTCCTTGGTAGAGCCGCGGAAGGCGGTGGCGGCGGCGGAATGGGGACCAGCCAGTCCTTCCTTCTCCCTCTTCTTCTGTTTCATCCTCCGGTTCTGGAACCAGATTTTCACCTGGGTCTCGTTCAGCTCCAGAGTAGCAGCGATCTCCACCCGCCTGGCTCGGGTGAGATACTTGCTGAAGTGAAACTCTTTCTCCAGCTCCGTCAGTTGCTTGGTGGTGAAGTTGGTCCGGATGGTGCTCGCGTGGACGGCCAATCCGTAGTCAGTCACTTTCGCTGCTGGGATGAACCAGAAACCGAGAAGGAAGCGACCAAGCCACTGGTTAAAATCGTTTCCAAAATAAACCAGTAATCAGCAACAACCTAGGCAGGAGCAGGTGTGTGCCTACCTGCAGCCCGGCCCTCTGAAGATGGTCAGTGAAACGCTTTCCCTCAGCGCTACTTTACATTAGCTGTTCTCAGCCTGATAACCTTTAGATGTATTGTACTGCATCTCTCATAATTTCCAGCTGGCATGAGAGTTGTGATACAAGGCATTTTGGAGGACATGAGCTTGGAGAAGCTTCCTCTAAATGTTCTGGGCATAGCTTAAGCCTTTCAGAGATGGGAGCTTAGCTTTCATGGCAGTCCATTCATTCCCCATTCAGATTCCCCGCTCCCTAATTCCAGGTTTCTGAAAGATTGTGCTCTGATCATTATGTTATCTTCTGAGCAACCTTTTTCAGCAATTTACACTGTTCTCCCATCTATGACACACAAAATTCCTGTTGATCAGAGTACTATATTAATACAACACCTTTCAACCCTGACAGTTCGCCCCAAGGCTGTTTGGAATATGAACCTATCAAAAGAAAACACCATTTTGGTTTTGATTGTTGTCAATCATTTTATAAACTTTACAGATATTTATAAAGTAATTTTCTGTGGGTTCTAGGCACAAGATGTTATTTGTATTCTAGATCAGTCAGTCCTCTGCGAGGCTGATTTGGAATAAGTAGGGAAATAACCTGATCCAGAAAAAGAATGGAGACCAAAGTTTAGCAAATCTCACATCAAACTGATAAGACATTCCCCCTCCCCCCAGAAAAAAATGCGACTTTTTTTTTCCTGCAAAAAGACACTCTGGAATGTTTAGCCCTGAAAGAAACTTCAACGTCTGCTTAAAAAGTTTATCTCCTAAATCCTGACCTGATGAGAAGACTCCCTCCGTTTCATGCTGAGGCAACAATATGTTGTGTCTGTACAAAGGCACTTCCCACCATTCTTATTATATACTAAGAAATATTAGGAAGGAAACTCAGCATTAGTGGAAGCTGATGGTCCAACATCTTATCTATGACTGGATTTCTACATAGCAATAAACCATGTATTACCTTAATCACAAGTTTCTGAAAACCCACAGTTCACACAAGCCACTACAATGCCAATACAAAATAAATCACACTATGACTTAGTGTAATATGTGAACTCAGCCTCTTCTGTCAGGGCTACCTCACCCACCCTGCTTCAACATCTTTTCAGACCAAGCTGTTTCTTAACTTCAATCCCAGTTCTGAATTCAGGAACATTAGTTCTATCCCTGATTCGTCTCTTCTGGATCTGATCGAAGTTGGGTAAGATGAAAAACAATCTGGGCTGACTCTAGGCAAGACTAGGATCTAAGATAAGCCTCATTCATTTCAAAGGGGAGTTGCAAGTTAGCCTATGGCTTTTGAAGGATTCAAAGAGCATCCCAAAGACAGTTGCATAAAAAGTAACCTCAGCCAGCTCCCATTAGAGGATCCTATTCAAAGAATAGGCACTTAGTATCCTGCATTGGGTTGATCTTCCAGGAACAAGCATTTCTTCTGCATGTGTATTTGTTTAATGGAAGTGCTTCTTCTTGGCTTTTAATCCCTGGCTAGCAATGGTAGAAAGAAGGTTTCCTGCATCAGGACCGGGTCTATCCATGACTGAAGCATTCTGTTCTTGTGAATAAAAAGGCAGCTCTGACTTTCACTAGAACGTATGAGACAAATTTGGGAAGCAAAACAGTTCAGATGGTGCAGTAGTCCTACCCATATGATCAACTCACTTCAAACATCAAGTTTTGGAAAGCTGACTGGTGCCCAGTTCCTTATGGGTAATCATGAATCAGAATATGGAAGCCACATCAAATGACAGCAAAGCTATTCCTCTCTTGTGTGTTGAGAAACTCTCAGTTTCGCAAACTCTAAATCAGGATTAGATAGTCTGGTGCCTCCAGTTTCTTTGGACTTCCACAGTTATCAGCCTCAGTCAGGATTGTCAGAAATGATGAGAGTTCTGCAAAGCACCTATCATTTGCTTGCAGTTGCTCTACATTTACCTAGTTCTTATTTTTTTTTATTGATTCAACAGCTTTGGAAAATAGTATTTTTCTGCCTTATCTACCATATTACAAAATAAATAATACAATAGCACTAACTGTCCTATAACAGCACCACAGTTTCTGAAACTCTTTCACCTATTTTTTTGCTAAAGTATTGTTCACATGTATCACTAAACTTCCATTTTTTCCCTACAGTTTGAACTACTTACTTCTGAACCTATCAACAGCACAGTCACCAAGTGAGTCTGGCCTTCCCTTTTCCATTTGGCAACTCTGGAAACAGAGAAGTCTTTCCCATCTCACCTACCCTCAAACTAACCTTGCTTCCTTCTTTCCTCCTTCTTTCCTTTCTTCCCTCCCTCTTAGGATTTGCCTTCTCAGACCAAGGTTGGTGATGGAGTGGCACCTCTAAACATTGCTTTCCAGGAGCGGATTCTATTTTCAACAGTAGTCATCTTGGAAGATGTCTCTGGGATGCTCTGGAGTGAAGCAGGATGAGGGACAACCCAAGCCAACGCAGAAGGCTCATCCCCACCAGCTTCCTTTGTCCCCCTCCTTCTCACCCCCTTTTTGATAGGACCCTGGTGAGGCAGCAGTGTGGGCACACACTCATCTCTCTGGGTGTCCAGGTATGTTAGAGCTTTACCTGTTCTAGGAGGATTCCTTTTCACTTTCATCCAGTCGAAGGTCTGGCTGGTGGTAGTAGTGGCAGCAGCGGCAGCAGCCATGGGACATGGATGGGCCCGGCAAGCCCTCAGCTCTTTGTTCTCAGACAGAGGTGGGGAAAGGTTGCCCAAAGCCCCTTGCAAATAGCCTCCCTGATCAGGGCCATAATGGTGTGGTTGAAACTGGCCCGGGGTGGCTGCACAAAAAGCATCAGGTATACTTCCTACTAGGTGGGAAGAAGAAGGAGAGGAAGCTGCAGCCAAGCTGGCAGGGTAGGCCGAGGTCTGGAAATAGGCTCCATCCGTCTCCATGGGGCTGTGGTAGAACTGGGGGTTGGTGAAGCTGGGGCTGCAACCGGAGGCTGCGTATCCCCCTCCCCCTCCTTGATGAGAGGGGCTGGTGAAGGAGATGCCAAGGCCAGCTGGGCTGTGAGGAAGAGGAGGAGGATAGCTGGGGCCCTGTTGGTGGTGGGCGTTGGGCCCAGTAGCACCCACCCCCGCCACCCCAAAGCACCCATCTGAGTGATAGCTGTCACAGGCAGGAGTGGTACCTGAACAAGCTGGGAAGGAAGTGGTCCCTTGGTCGAGGTGCTGGTACTCCTTGGGCGGGTAGGTGCTCGTCCCACGGTTACAAATTGCATAGTCTAAAAAGAAGTTCATTCTAGGTATTGTTCCTTTGCCAATGATGGAAGAGGGTTGCCCTGTTTTATGGGGATTCCTTCTGCCCTACAACCTTTAGATAGTATGTCAAAGTTAACCAGGGGGAAAAAGGGGAGAGAGAGAGAGAGAAAGAGAGAGAGAGAGAGAGAGATGAAGAGGAGAGCCACCCTTCCCATCTATGGATCTCTAGGCTTGGAGCCCCCCCTTCTTCCCAAAGCTTTCAGAATGGGGGAGGGGAGAAGGTGGTGGTGGGGTGGAAGGGGATCTGAACACGTGGTTCCCTTCAAGCCCAATGAGCAAATGCCTCCCAAACTTTGTCAGATATCTGCCATCATCCATCAAGTCCTTGGCATTTGCATGACAAAGGGACTTCAATCAAACTTTTCCCCATCGATCTGATTAACAACATGGATACGTCAAAAGGTTTTTCCCTCAAAGACTTAGGAAGAGGGGTGGAAAAAGGAAGTGATAGAAAAGGGGTTGGGGGAGTAAAAAAAGAAGGGGGAAAGTTAAAACTATTCAAAGACTATTCTATGTGTTAGAAAAGACGGTGACAAAAATCATCAGAACTTTTCTCCTTGGCTGAAACAAAAAGAGCTTTCACCCCATTTCTGCTGTAAGGGACTCACCTAACAGAGGAAGAAATGTATGTGTGTGAGAGAGAGAGTAAGAGGTATTGAAGACTTCTTTATGATAGAAAATGTTCCTTTTCCTCATTAAAAAATAATCACTGAAAAGATACTTAAACATTTATGGGGTTTGCTTAAAATGCCTTTTGCTTTCCCTTAAAAAAAAAATCCAAATAGCTTTGCTTTGCACATCGCCTTTGTGTCTAGAAGCGGAGTTCTTAAGAGCAATTTAATTCAATCAACATTCTAATGAGTTGTGAAATAAAGTTAGAAACACAATTGTGTTTTGTTGAAAGGGGAAGGGAGAGAAAGGCAAATGAAATTGAAATTCGATCTACCCTATCCATCTATTAGTTATTTATTTGATCTGACTAGCCATCCATTTTCCATCTCTTCCTCCTGATATTATCTCCAACCCCCCTCCATTTTCTTATTCTATAAAAAGCTTGTAGTTGCTGGACTTTTTGTCTGTTATTGGGGGGGGGGGCATTTTAATTGTTGCAAATCATTCTTCACACTTAAATAAAGACAAGCAAACGACTCCCAGAGGCCACTTTCTGAGCCATTGTTTCTTAATCCTGATTTGCACAGGAAGAAGAGCAAAGAGTCCCTTCGTTTTTGATGGCAAGTAGCTAAAATAGGCGTTTGGTTCGTGCTTATTGCTTTAGGGAGCAAAGGAAAGCGAGCTGCTTTCGTTTCGTTGAGGAAGGAGAAACTTCGCCTTCTCATTTACCTGCCACAGAAATGCTGGTCAGGGCCAAACCCTCGGAGTTGCAAAGCTGGCTCTTAAGTGAACTTTTGGCCTATTTCAACCTCTGGTGCTTTCCCCCTGGGCTATACGGCCAGTAAATATCCTGACAAGTAACAAATGACCGTAGGCGTCAGCTTGCAAGTTGCTCTTGTCTTCCGTGTGCTAACAAGTAAATAAATGTTGCTGGCTTGGCTTTCCATTATATTCGGCATCCCAGAGTGGTCGAGCCTCTTCCTCTTTGTCAATACACGTGGGCCAGAGGAGGAGATTCCCCTGGAAAAGAAAGTCCGTAATTACCCATTTATGGACTCCAGAAACGAAGGATGCTCACGCGCCTCAAGCAGAACCAAGAGGAAGGGGAAGAGAAGGGGACCCGGCAGCGGAAAGGCAGCAGGAGTCCTCCCGAAGGCTTCAGAAACGGGGGACCAATATCGTGTGTGTGGGGGGGAGCACCAGGACTCCCATTTATTTCTGCTGTTTCTTTCAGGAGGCAAAAGATGAGGAGACTGTCTTGATAGAATATAGATGGAAGGCCTTCCCTGCATCCGAGGGAAAAGAAAAGGAGGTGAAGACCGAATTATCAGGTGATCCGGAAGATGGGCCGAGGAGAGAAAACCAAGAAAGACACACCGAATGAGAAAAACAAAATTAAAAGCGGGGAGGGGACGATAAGAGTACTGTTGTTTACATTTAAAAAATATATATATTTCATGAGAAAATATTTGCACTAGAAAATATTTATAAGGAATTTCTTCTGGCCGTTCCCTCGTTAACAAGAGGTAACTTTGAGTGTTCCCTCGTGTAGTCCTGTATGAAAGTCCTGACCAAATTAAGGTTCCTGCACTACAAATCTTGGCTTATGGTCGGGAAAACTGTTTCCCTGCTTTCTTCCACATTTATTTCCTAACCAAACAGCACTAAAAACATCAGGTACAAAGCGGCCCTTTGATGCCCCTGTACCTCTGGCACCCAGTCGGGACTCTGGGAGGCCTGTGCCCCCGAACCTGCCGATGCCATCGATGGGAGCCCTGTAAAACACAAGAGTTAGGACAGCAACATCATCTGAATGCTGTCATGGGAGTTCTCTTGCGCAGGTCCACAGTGGGAAGGCTCTCTACCAGGGATGACGACCTTGTCATTGGCAGAATGGAAGGGTCCAGGGAGAATTCCCGTCCTTCCTTCCTTCCTTCCTTCCTTCCTTCCTTCCTTCCTTCCTTCCTTCCTTCCTTCCTTCCTTCCTTCCTTCC